CCATTATTTCATAAGTTGCCCTATAAGGTCGTTATTGCTTTCCAAAGGGAACTTTCCATTTACCTAATGTTAAAAATACCTCAGCTGTTATTATTTGTTTGTATTCTGCTTTGTTTATTTTATCTTAACTTAACCAATCAATAGTTTTATTAATACTAATGTAGTAAAATGGGGTAGAGCCCGTGGGTTAATCTTATAACTGAAATATCTGATTAGTGATTTAATTTTTATTTACTGTCATGTTTTTGTTTACATTATGGATCCTCTTAGTAAAGCTGGGACTTTTTTTGGAGAGGAGGGAAAACACTTTTACGCACACAGGTAACCAGCCTGTAGTGTGAGACTCCTGAATTTATCAGACTACTCACTAATAGACCCCCTCTGCTCTGTTCCACGTCATCGAGATTGCCTGGGCAGTATATGCAATTAGGTGACATGGTTTTGCCCATCCTGAACAAGTACGACCAGAAAAAGCAGTGACCCGTCAGAAATTGGGTGAGCTAGAAGTTCACCTCTCCGCACCACCGATTAACCCAAGGTTGTACTTGCTGCATCAGTCACCTGGTCTAGCGTCCCCGTGTCTCCTGTTCCCAGCTTTCCATGGCAGATAAGGGTGCGTTCCTCCGTTCTTGCCTGGTCCTCCCAACGGTGCTGATAAATTGCCTTCCTCTCCGCCGCCAAATAATTAACGGGGATGACACCAGCAACCACCAGGACGGCGGGTTTGGACACTGTTCGATAACCAGATTGTACCCTTAGTGCTGCCTGACACTGAACTTGGGCGAGCCGCATCCTATATATCTACTTATTGATAGCGTCTGTCCACACTTCCGCACCGTACAGGAGCGAGGAGCACGGACTGGACTGCAGACTTCAACAGCCTTCTGCGGCTGGACCGTGGACCTCCGACATTGGCCATTAGGGCTAAGGGAAGAAACCACTTTAGCGGCCTTGTCCGCCATACGGAAGATCTGGTCCCACCAGCTAAGCTTGCTGTCTACCATCACCCCAAGGTACTTGGTGGCACGAGTGGTTTGGACTTCAATGTTCCCCACCCTCAACTGAACGATGGTGTCAATCCCCTTTTTAGTCAGAAGTACAATCTCAGTTTTGCTCAGAGCAAACGAGAGACCATGTTCTGCCATCCATGCGTTAATGGTGTGCATGACTCGATTTAATTTTAGATGGGCAAGCTCAACGCTACCCCACACCACATCCCGACTCCCCCCTGACGGAAAAGTATTGATACATACATGTTGCCCTAATTACAAGAATGCATGGCAATGCCACTGAGTTGCAATGACTGAATCAATACTTTTTAAATTCGACTCGATAACAAACGCACGATGCTCTGGTGACCACTGATCTATGACCACAGATAATGGCATCGAGTAGGCTTTCCAACGAGCCCAACCACACCACTCTCAGACGACCGGTCGCAGAACAGTGCGCTTCATAAAATAGATCGTTTTCTTTTGCCGCACCCTGTATAAGCATATTGTTACATATTCTTTAAAATATCCTTTGTAGTAAAAGTGTCCTTCAATAGTATGTGTATACTGTTATAAATTACATTTTTAAATTTTCATACATTGTAAGTCGTCACTCTGGAAGCGGGGAAGAAGTCCTCCTGCCCAGAAGCACAGAAAACATCAGAAGTGCCATAAATGTTAAGCCAAACAAAATTGACGAACGCTCGTTATGTCACTTGCCTAATTGTTCTGTGTGCATGTTCGTGAGATGACCTTGAGTAGAACAAGGCAATAGGAGAGAGTTAATAGTAAATTAACGCACTGAACGAGGAGACTCCCCGTTTTGGCAGCTGTCTACTGTGATGCGGTTAGCTTCAGTGGAGTGCTGGGATGTTTCCAGGGGTCTGAAGTTGGCCGAAAATGGAAAAAAGGTATATATAGCTCAGATCGATGTGGTTATCCCAACGGGATCGTACAGTTCTGGTATACAATAGTTATCAGTACTGCTCGGATTACTCTGGCAGGAAAAGGTAGGGCTCGGATTTCTCTAGTGGGAGTGGGTACTGCTCGGATTTCTCTAGCAGGACAAGGTACTTCTTGGATTTCTCTAGCAGGACTGGGTACTGCTTGGATTTCTCTAGCAGGAGTGGGTACTGCTTGGATTTCTCTAGCAGGAGTGGGTACTGCTCGGATTTCTCTAGCAGGAGAGGGTACTGCTCGGATTTCTCTAGCAGGAGAGTGTACTGCTAGGATATTTCAAGCAGGAGTGGGTACTGCTCAGATTTCTCTAGCAGGAGTGGGTACTGATCGGATTTCTATAGCAGGAGTGGGTACTGCTTGGATTTTTCTAGCAGGAGTGGGTACTGCTCGGACTTTTCTAGCAGGAGTGGGTACTGCTTGGATTTCTCTAGCAGGAAAAGGTAGGGCTAGGATTTCTCTTGCAGGAGTAGGTACTGCTCAGATTTCTCTAGCAGGAGTGGGTACTGCTCCGATTTCTCTAGCAGGATTGGGTACTGCTCCGATTTCTCAAGCAAGAGTGGGTACTGCTCGGATTTCTCTAACAGGAGTGGGTACTGCTCGGATTTCTATTGCAGGAGTGGGTACTGCTTGGATTTTTCTAGCAGGAGTGGGTACTGCTCGGACTTCTCTAGCAGGAGTGGGTACTGCTTGGATTTCTCTAGCAGGAAAAGGTAGGGCTAGGATTTCTCTAGCAGGAGTAGGTACTGCTCAGATTTCTCTAGCAGGAGTAGGTACTGCTCAGATTTCTCTAGCAGGAGTGGGTACTGCTCCGATTTCTCTAGCAGGAGAGGGTACTGCTAGGATTTCTCTAGCAGGTGTGGGTATTGCTTGGATTTCTCTAGCAGGAGTGGGTACTGCTAGGATTTCTCTAGCAGGAGTGGGTACTGCTAATATTCACCGGACCTTGTAGCGTTGGTTTTTCGTCGAGAAGTGGGAGCGAGGACCTTCTCGTTTCGATGCCCGTGATCGACTGACTCGTGGGCTCTCCTGTGCCTCACTAAAAGGTGAGATTTTTTAACCATTCTTCTAATAATGAAGAATGTTTGATTATTAAACGGCTTAAAATCAAACAAACAAACATCCCAAAGCTCAATTTATGCTGAACAGATTTTAGAAAATAATCATAATTATGGCAAATTGGAAGAATGTTTCAAAATTCTAAATTTTGAGAAAAAGAGGGAAAATGGATGTAAAAGAAGAACTGCAAATATACCTACACTCAAAATAACACGGCGACCAAATTCTTAATGTAATGCAAAAACACAAAAGAAAATCCAATTAATGAAAAAATCTGACAAATCAGGGAAGAATCTTACACATTCACATGTTAAAAAAATTCACCTAACCATTTAATCAAAATTGACTATGAATTCAATACATATGTTATTAATTTATGTATTTTATTTGTTTACATACTTGAATAACTCATACTGTGAACTTGGTCTTAGTGCCGAAATACGTACAGTTTTAATAAAAAATAATTTTAGTATACTATGGTTTTTAGTATTTCACTTATAAACAAGGTGATTAGTACTCAGTGTGACAAAAAATTGTTGGTGTAAGTACAAAGTAAATGCAGTGTGATGATGCATATAAAAGGTTCCAAATATAAAATTTAGCTTACCAAAGAATTATTTTATGTTTATAAAAAATAACTATGTTTTAAACTTAATACATCAATTTCTCAATTACCTGTACATAGATTTGAGTAGATAATATAATTTTCGTGTTCTACATTACATTTTGAATAATAATAATAGAAAATGATGGAGGATCAGTTGTAAAAACTTCATTGTAAATAGATTCAAAGATAAAAATTAAGATGTTTGATCAACATTTCAAAAACATTGGTCTATTACATTTGTTCACACCTTGTATACAAGAAAGTGTCCGAAAATTGTAAAAACTGCGCCATTATATAAGCTTTCCAACCATATGCTACACTATCGAGCTTTATGTCTGCTTATGTACGCTTTAGTGGTTTGAAGACTACAAAACATGGTGTCTTTAACATTTAAAACATAGATAGTCGGCATGTATTAAGCAAAAGTTGGATTTTTTCTGTTTGAACAGTAAAAACAGTAAAAAGTTTTCCAGTTTTCTGGTATTCAAACCACTAAAACAAACAAAAGAATATCTAAACCTCAATAGTGTAACTTATTCTTGTATACAGGGTGTGAACAAATGCAATAGACCAATGTTTTTTTTTAATTTTTATCAAACATCTTAATTTTTATCTTTGTATCTATTTACAATGGAGTTTTTACAACTGATCCTCCGTCATTTCATATTATTCTTATTCAAGTTTAATGTAGAACACTAAAATTATATTATCTACTCAAATCTATATACAGGTAATAATTAAGGAATTGCTGTATTAAGTTTAAAAACATTGTTATTTTTGTAAAACAGAATAATTTTTTGGGAAGCTAACTTTTAGACTTGGGACTTTTTATATGCATCATCACACTTCATTTACTTTGTACTTACACCAAAACAATTTTGTCACATTGAGTACCAATCACCCTGTATATATATGAATTTGAACGGATGGTGTTTTGCCTATAGGGACCTCAAAACGACAAAGTAAATCAGTACCGGGTCTAGGTCTAACCATGAGACCTGCGGCAGTAGCTTATTACCTCATATGGGAAATTAACTAAAAGTACACCATGCAAAATGAATAAATAAATAAGTAAATAAAACTGTAACATGCTGTAAAAGTTTTTAACACATGAAAAAATCACAAAATTCTCACACTTGCAGGCAGCGTAAAATTTTATTTAATCTCTTTTCAATTTTATTTCTCTTTACTTCATTGTTTTATGCTTTGAAAAGAAAACCTCCTGCAAGGAATAAAATGAGTTTGCAACCAGCCAATCCCTTACACTTTTCACTAACGCTTTAGCAGGTTTCCTTGTGACTTACAGAGGTAAAGAATTCAAAATGTTATACCTGCAACAGAAAAGCAAGTTTTTGTCAGCCTAACCCTATGTCTATGATCATTAGCACTGGCAAAGCGTGCCAAGGATGGGCCAAGGTTTCAATCCCCATAAAGACAGCCAGAGAAGAGAAGCTTCGTTTAAGACCAATGAGACCCTGGAAATTCCCGATAATATAGACTGGAGGATGAAGGGAGCCGTAACCGAAGTTAAAGACCAGGGTGAATGTTGGTCTTCCTGGGTCTTTGGTGCGGTAAGTGGATCAACCTGGGGTGTAGTGTTGAATGTATAAATGTAAACCTTGTGTACAGTCTGTCCGTGTCTGTGTGTACAGTGGTGAGAGAAGGGAGAAGTGCGAGATGAGGACGGGGGAAAGGTATACTTATGTCCAACGGTCCAAAGCCTGCTTGTGTTATTGAGTAGCCTAATGTAAACCTTTTGTTATCTGTAACCAAATGAAAAATATTTCTTGGACCAGAAACGATCGTAATTTAATAAGATTTTCAGATATAACATAAATTTTGAGCTGGATATTGTTAGTGCATTGTCAGTCTTGGCCTGTGGATAGCGTCTAAGGGTTCGATGCAATATAGTTCGGTCAATAATTTTACAAAAAAGTATTAAAATATAAGGTTAGACCTAAGCCTGCTCTCCCTTAAAAGCATTATTATTATTCTTAACAATTTGTCACTAGCGCATACTGTATTGAAATATTAACAGGATGAAAAATTAGAGACACAGTCCTATAATCTCAATTAGATTTTCTTTTACAAATGTTAATCTACTTTGTGGCTTTTTGCACTAAGAGTATAACTTTAGGTATTTAGTATTGTAAACTATAACGATAGTATACACAGTAAAGTGTTTTAAATCATAAGTACGATTCTTGTATTACATTAAACAGTAGTATAAGAGGAAGGTATACACATTTTCAATAAATATATATGCCTATGATGTTTATAAAATTGTGAAAATATTCTGCGTTGCAAATACCATGGGTATAGGAAAGAATGGATTTTGACACGTTAGGTGCATATGTTACGGTTTTCCCTGATATTTGGTGTTTAACGCCAAGAGGGATATAACAAGTGTGAATTATAATACTATCTAGCTGTACCCGCGGGCTTTGCCCCGTTTAACTTCATAAGTATTCGCATGGCTCATTGACGTCCTGGTTGAAGTTCGTTCGCTACGCTCACTCACCTTTAGGTTGGAGCTCGTTCGTTGCGCTCACTTGCCTTCAGGTTAGCTCGTTCGCTACGCTAACTCGCCTCCAGGTTTAAGTTCGTTTGCTACGCTCACTCACCTTTTGGTTGGAAATTAGCTGTTGTCATAAATTAAAAAAAATAATAGTACTGCACCCTGTTGGTAATCCTTGTAACTTTTATGCTATTGAACATCATAGAACAGAACCAACTTGTTTAATTGAAACAGCTGTTAAGATTCATTAATTCCTTTTAAATATGAAAAATCATAAGGTTAACATGGGGAACTACAGAGCCACTGGGGCGGAGCCCGAAAGGATTTTTAAGATAAGAATATGTTTTAATGTTAATCGGGAATGTGAGATATCATCATGCCAAATTTCAGCCCAATCCGTCCAGTAGTTTATGCGTGATTGAGCAACACACACACACACACAAACTCACAAACTTTCAGATTTATAATATTAGTAAGATGATAATAATAATGTGATCATGAGTGAACACAGATAAAAATCCAGAAATTTAAAGGTGAGGGAATATAATTTAATATATGAATTGAATTTATAACACTTTGTATTTAAATTATTTTTCGATGAAAACATACTCCGGTATTTGTTTGTATTACTGTAGTAGGCAATATATTTTGTTTACTTTTGCTTAATTTAACCAATCAATAGTTTTATTAATACAGTATTGATGAAGTCAAACGGAGAAAAGCCCGTGGGTAACAGCTACTTTTAAAAAGAATAGTCTAGTGGTTTTTTTTCAAAAAACTGATTTTTTTTTTATTTTATCCGTTTTTAAAGGGGAAAGATTCAAAAGTTAAAATATATTTTCAACCGCTATCTTTACTCTAATAGGGTTCATACCATCTTCTTTCTAGTAAAAAAAGAGTATAACATAAAAATATTTAATCAAATTCGTAACGGCCAATTGTGCCAAATTGGGCCAAATCTACACAACACCCTATGCCTAGATTGGTCAGCGCAATGGATCAATAGCAGTGCTTATCATTTCTGCAATACTGCCCCCCCTCCTACCATATAATACAAAAGGAATAATTTTGACAAGGTTTGTGTTTAAAGGTGTATAACATAAAAAATAAAAATACTTGCATCACAGCAATCCTTCTGATTGAGTAAATTTCCATTTTTTTCTGACTGATTTTGATCAAAATATTCCCTTACATTTGTCAGCTTTATTCTTTATTAAATATCCGTACCAGGGGACTGAGCATTGCTTGATGGTGATTAATTTGTATTGGAGATTGACCTAGCCTCTACAGCTTTGTGCAAGGCCTTCTGGAAATTTATTTTTTGTTTTCAAACAAATCATTCCAATGAATAATCCACACTTACAATAACTTTAGAAATGTAATTAGTATAAATAATGAAAAAATATATATTGACAATTGTACATAAACAGTCTGCATATTTTGTCTAAGATATAGTTGTATGTCTGGATAATAATTTCAAAAGCTAAATTTCAAGGTTTGTGAGGCGAAATATGACATTTCCTGCATTTTATTCTCTAAATTCTACATGGTATGTGTTATGATTTGAAAGAAAGTAAAGAGGTGAATCTCTACTTAATGTTTTGATATGAATTAGTTTAAAAATTTTTCGTTTACAAATTTGTTGGTTTAAATATGTAGATAATTCTTTTACACGAAGAAAATCTTTAAACACTTTTGAGAATGTGAGACAACTTAGGTTTACAAACCAGTTAATTTGTTATTAGACATGTAATCATAATTTTAAATCTGTTCTTATCTAGGGGTTTTCACATAGAGGAAGTACTACTGTACTTCCACTTTCTTCCATCATTGACTTTAAATATAACAAGTTGTATTCAAGTTTATTGTAAAAACGTATGTACTTTTTTATGCTGTTTGACAACCTTTTAATATTTCAAATTATGTAGTACTAGTAGTAGTAGGCCTATTTTTTTGATACCGTGCATAGGTTTCTTAAAACTAAACCAAAGAGAATACAGTACTGTAAAACTAAATTGAATACAGTTATATTTTGTTTTCATAAATTAATGTGAAAGGTTTTTACTATATTTAATCAATGATCAAGCGTGTAATTGTTTATCTTAGTTTATTAATTAACAATAAGTGTGTAAATTTTAATTGGCATCATCCTTGGAATCGGTAAAATGACACTTGATATTGGATGTAAAGAGTATGAATCGCATAACCGTATAATATGCTGTTTGTTGATGATGTATTTAATTTGATAAAATCTTTGTTGTGAAAAACAAATAATGAAATATTCCATTAAAGAAAGGTTGCGTTTGATCGATATTTTGCGGAATACCTTTACCTTTACCTTTACCTTCTTCTTCACCGCCACTCTCCTTAAGACAGGGGACGCCTCCTTAGTACGTTTTCCTCTTTGGGCAAAGACCAAGTGTTTCAATACACAAGTGTTTCATGTATGTGTGAGCCTATCTTTTTTAGTTAACTGTGTAGAATTCTTGTTTAGTGTAGCATGGATTTTGTGTGAGATGATTTGTTAGGGTTTGTTTGAATTTGTTTTTGTTGGATTTTAGGAATTTGATATTTTGGGGAAGGTGGTTGTAGAATTTTAAGCCAATATACAGGGGTTGGACCTGTGTCATCTTTAATCTTTTGTAAGTGTTACGAATAAACTGACAAAAAATGTGAGTACTCAGTGAAAGTAGTGACAATAATTTATTTGAACCATTTTACTAACATCTTCTTTATAAACCAACATAAACTCAACTCTTTTGTTTACATTCTCTCCTTTAAATTAATAGCATGTGTTTTAATTATTAGTAAGCATACGATATTAACATTGACCACAGCTGGCAATTTAAAACCAGTAAGTTAAACCATTGACTATAGGTTAAACCAACACAGCATATATAACATCCTCCCACCCAAGTTAATTAACTTATGGTTGATTAACTTGTACTTTGGATCGTGTACTTCTTCTTGTAACTACTTTTCTCTCTTCATTAGAGTTTATTTCCAATGGGTATAAACGTTGTACTGGGCGAATCAATTCATTGGTTGGTGTCTTCAGTCTTACTGTGCGTACAATTCCATCTCTTCCTTTCATTACTGATTCTGGCAATCACCCAGTTTATCCGCTTGTCAAAGTCATTACCTATGAGTACTATTTCCCCCACTTCAGGTTCTCGGTAACTTTTGACATTATTATGGTGTGATATTGACCAAGATACTCGATTCTGAATCCTGACTTCAGTCCTTCTCTTATTTTCTTTCTGTATACAACTTTCTTCGGTAAATTTATCTCCTCAATAGCATCTAAGTCGGGTTGTCTCACATCGCTCATATCTTTCAAAAACATTGATGGAGTAATGGGACTCAACTCATTCAGATCATCTGACATGTAAGTAAGCGGTCGAGCATTGATAACACTTTCACATTCGCATAATGTAGTTGACATTTCTTCTTAGTTCAAACTAATTTTCTTCAAAACTCTTTTCATAGATCCTTTAGTGATCTTATAAGTCTTTCATAGAACCCACCCCACCAAGGTGAATTTGGTGGAATGATTTTTCACTCAATTCTAGAAACTTCCTGTATGTTTCCCAATCCAGCTTCTTAAACAGACTTTCAGTTCCAGTGAAGTTCGTACCGTTGTCTGAAAATATTGTATGTGGTCTGCCCCTTCTGCTGATGAAACGTCTCAATACCTGAAAGAATGCATCTGTAGACAGTGCCAGGATAAGTTCGAAATGATCTGCTCTCACAATAGCACAAGTAAAAATACAAATATATGCTTTGAGGTTTCCTTTAAGATAAACTGGACCTGTCATATCTATCCCACAAACTTCAAAAGCTACAGGATCACGAAGTCGTTCGAGTGGTAAAGACGCAGTTGGAGCTTCAAATCTTTTGGATGAAAACCTTCGACAAATCACACAATGTTTTATTACAGTCCTCAACGTCCTCCTTCCTCCTAAAATCCAAAACCTTTCTCTCAAAATGCTCAGCAACCCTTGTACTCCAACATGACAAGACTCTTCATGGACGTGGCGAATGAGACGCAAA